CTGATGGCAAAAATGCGCATTTTTGACCCAAAATACCGAGTGCGGCACATCAAATGACGTTAGAATTCATTCAGGATTCCGATTCTGGGCAAATATGCCCCAGTTTCGGACTTTTGCGGTCATCTTCAAGGGTTTTCGGGCCGAAATTTGCCGAAATGAAATGAAAAAAATGAAATTCAACCATCCTCAGACAGTTTGGGGTGGAAATTTGCCAAAAAACCTGCCTCAACTGAAACATTACGAGCCTTTTGACAAAAACCTGCCTGTTTAGGCGTCATTTGGCACTCACGGCGCGACTAGTTGAGCAGAAATCGATTTAAATAACGCTACAAATAAAAAAAATTGGCGCACCCGGTATATTCGGCCAGATTCGCATTCTCTGGGTGATTCTAGTGTGGTTTGATGGGTCACACTTACCATCCAGCTGGCACGGTTTGGCAACTACGCCGCTTCTTAGGTGGCAAATAATTGAACATCGGAGGAACGTTAAAGAGCCTAAAAGAAGTCAAACTGACGCGAAAATATCAAGTGCGGCGCATCAAGCCAGGCCAGAATTCACTCAGGATGTCGATTCTGCCCAAACGAACCCCAGTTTCGGACTTTTTTCGGCCCCCTTCAGGCGTTTTCATGACAAAATTCGGCCGAAAAAACTCCAAAAATCCAACTGCGACGTGTTTTTGCTCTAAACCGGATTAGTGGGGCAAACAAACCGCATCTAGCCACTTTACAAGCACCAAGTCGGGCAAAAAGTCCTTAAAAAAATTGCTTTTTTTTGGCGCACCCAGCAGATCGATGCAGATTCGCATTCTCTGGGTGATTCTAGTGTGGTTTGATGGGTCACACTTACCATCCAGCTGGCACCGTTTGGCAACTACGCCGCTTCTTAGGTGGCAAATAATTGAACATCGGAGGAACGTTAAAGAGCCTAAAAGAAGTCAAACTGACGCGGAACTATCAAGTGCGGCACATCAAACCAGGCGAGAATTCACCCAGGATGTCGATTTTTCAGAAACGAACGCGAGTTTCGGACTTTTTCCGGCCATCTTCAGGCATTTTATGGACAAAAACCGCTTGGAGAAGAGGCGGATATCAAGTGCGACGCATCAAATCACGCTAGAATCGACCGGGGAGTGGGAATTTCGCATAAAATACCGGGTGTATCGGGGGAAAATTGCAAAAAAAATCGTTTTTTCGGCGTTGAAACACACAATTCCCATGGAACTTGACCGGAAGACTGGCAGAATTACACGAAATTAGGCGCAATTTCAATTAAAATAGTGTGGGTTTAATGGGTGCATGCGAGACTTACCAGCGAAATTTTGGCATTTCTGGCTAACGCCACACGGTGCAGATCAGACGGAAGCTGGAGTCTGGCTGGTCCATGCAAAACTGCCGCCGCTCTTTGGCGAGCGAAGAGTAGTGG